GGGGTCCACAGAGTGTGAACGGCCAGGGTCCACCACCCGTGGGGTTAGGGTAGAGCTTAGGACGGGCCAAAAAAAAAAAACCACACACAAATGCTTGATCATGGCCCCCCCCAGCCCGGCCCGGCCCGGCCCGAAGATAGTGGCAGGAAATATCAGCCTGACCCGGCCCACGGGTCGGGTCGGGTCTGGGCTCGGGCTCAGGCAGAGAATCTAAACTCTAGGCTGGGGGGGGTTAAGGGCCTTGCTCAAGTGCCCATGGACATGTGACTATTCTGCCAAGGCTCGAACCGGTGACCTTCTGATCACAAACACACATCTCTCCAGATATATAGTATATCACTAAGCCACCACTGGCAGGTTTACAACTCGCCACCAGCCAATTGAACATGATGTACAGAGCACTTCCTGAACAATGGAGATGTATGTGATGTTCATAATTGTAGGAAAGACAAATTAATGAACAATCATTCCCTTGGTCAACTTAGCTTTGACAGGCGTAGTATGCAGCATTTATTGCGTTTGTCAAGAACAGGCTTGATTAGGTGAAATAGCCCGGCATTCAGTCCTCTTTCGGTCCATAGGCAGTGCTTACCCAGTAAGTCACAGAGAGTCTGGAATCCATCCCAGGAAGCACGGGGTGCCGACACCAGTCCACGGCACGGCACACGCTACAGGCAGACACATACATGCACCCTGGGAGAACATGCAAAGTCCACGCATTCCCACAGCCAAGATGAAAGTTGGACCTCCAGACCAGGATGTTCCTTGACCAGAACCAATAAAATGAACCAATAAAACTGGTGTGAACCACGTTCTCCCACACTGATATGTGGGAAACAGAAATATAGATAATTCTGTTGTCATCTGTAATAATCATGCAATTGAATCTGTATTTGTTCACAAAGTCTTCACCAGTGGAGTTGTGCATTCACTTTGAAAGACGCTGACAGCGGTAGCAGGGGTTAGCAGAACATAGAAAGACAAAGGTTAAACTCATCTATCAGACGTGTAATGTAATGTAGTTATTTGCAAATAACTGTATAATCTGCACACTGCAGTCAGGAGTCACTTTATGTCGGCATGCAGTACTGTGCAAAAGTCTTAGGCAGTCAGAGAAAGTGATGTTTAAATGATCTTCATGTTGGTATAAATAAAACTATTGTATTGTCTGTTGAAGTGTGTCAGCTTAAAGCCAAAAAGAGCAAGAAAACTGGTAAATGTTTTTATTACCCAATAAGTTCTATTCTTATATAGGAGTTAATCGGCCTTGGATCTGCATAGTGGCGTCCATGTCAGTATTTGCAGTATACATCCAATACACCCATGTACTTTTTGACTAGACCACTTACCCAGCCTTATTTGGCTAATCAATTCCTCAGTGAGCAAATAATTAATTAATTGATCTGGTGGTGAGATTCCAAAAATACATGGAAGGGCTGGCGTGCCCCTGAGGAGAGGTTTGGGAACTGAAGTGGTGTTGTTCTAGCCGTCCAGCAAGATATCAGGAGCTTTTTGTAAAACAAAGGAATTCCTTGTTTTTTTTATTATGTTGCTGTTAATTTGCATATGTTCTAATGTTACATCACATTATTTTTTCTGAGCAAACACTTACTGCACAGGCAAACAGCTTTAAACATTGCCTTTGACCGCCTAAGACTTTTGCACAGTGCTGTTTGTCGCACATCTGGGCCTCCAGCTCATGTTCTGGGTGACACCAGGCTTATTTCGTCCAGAACTGATTATGTAGAGGTTTGCATTGTTAGAGCTGGCAGCTGGGAAAAGCTCTATAAAATCCCCGCCTGGACAGGAGGGGGTCCAGCTCTATTGAATTTCTTCACTGGAGCATCGCGCTGATGCGGTCTGCGGCTGCCGGGAGGCCCGGAACGCTGAAAGGATACTGCTGCGCTCATGGGAAACAAACAAAAAATGTCAAACAAAAGCAAACGAAACACTGCCAGTACAAGGTTCCGTTGTGCTTTGTTTGGGCATGTGCATGTGCATGTGTGTGTGCTTGATTGTGTTGAGGGAGGTGTTACAAACACAAACAGACCACATATAGAAGAGATGGACTGATATGAGAAGAAACCCTCCTTCGTTTGTACCTTCCTTTCCACAAGTATTCATATGCAGCCATTAGCATATACAGACTCAGCCTTGTATTTTATTTATATCTAGATGACTGCCAATAGCATCTTGGATATGACCAAATATTAGAGGGCAATCACCTCTATATAATTGTAGTGCGTTTGGAATATGCATACTACAGTTCCACCAAAGGAATATACAACAGCCACGGGGAAGCATCTTTAATTTCACAGGAGATCACAAGAGTTCAGTCCAGATCTCTCAAAGATATACATTAATTCAAATTTCTGTTTTTATTTCCGTTGCGCTTGGTATGGATGGTCTTTCAATGATCCATTAAGTCTAGAGACCTCTGGCTCGCTTGCTTCATGATCCTGGGTAGGACTAAGACTTTGGACATCGCTCTCTCAAGTATGACAGAAGTAAAAACAGCTATATGAAAAACCTTACATGTTTATACCCAAAACAGGACAACAACCGCTGGAGATATAACTAACATCTCACAATTATTACTGCATTCATCACAGCTAATGACCAATATTTTCCCTCTTCTCTGTAGGAACGACATGAACGGAGATTATTCCTTTCAATGGAAGGAGTCAAATAGGGGTGTAGATAAAAATTCTAGACTCCCTGGTAAAATGTCACCTTTGGCCCCCCACATTCCCCGCTCAGTAGATTTTTAAGACCTTGGGGTTTCCCTTCCATGCATTTTGCCAACTGAGACTAACTGAAGCTACTGCTCCCCCCAAATCTGCTACGGTGTCCGTGCCCCTCCAGCACCCTTGGAGTCAGACGGCAAATTTAATGCAATTACCCATAAAACATTGTCATTTTTAATTAACATACAAGTGCAAAGAGATGCTTCCCATTGGGTAGAATCTTGACCCTCTGGAGGTGGCGGCTCAGAGAGGAATGATGTCCGAAGTATTTCATTATGCCATCCTGACGGACGTTTTGGGTGTCCTTGCCATCAGTCTCCATTAACATGAGTGTGAACTTAAAGACCTAAAAGCCCACTGAGCAGCATTTTGTGGATGATGTCTCAGATTTATTTCTGAATTCTAGCAGCACAAAGGCTTTATTGGGTGTCCAACAGCTACCCTTGTGATTCATTTGCAATTCTTTAGATGTTGGGCCTCCTTTGATTATAAATTTGTCAGAAGTCTTATTGGCTGCAGTAATGCATTTTGCCCAGAATAACCTGTTTTTCGGCATAAAGTGAAAATATAAATAATTTAGAGTGCAAGTATTTGCACTGGTCCCATTTACTGTTTTTAGCATGATCAGTCTCTCAGCTGCTTCTTGCTTTATTTTCATTGGCAAATACATCAACTCGTCCAGTACCCTAAACATTAGAATATGTTTTACCAGATAGTAGGAAAAAGCACTCATAAAAGTTTCTATGATAGATTATGAAGGTGACCTTTATGACATTAACTTATAACGGTCATCCCCACATCAATCCATTGCTTTTGTCTTGCTGTGGTAGACCTGCACAATGCTATAAACTGCGATGACCTCTTGCCTGTGGTACCCATTTAGCTGTGGTCGTGCTTATTGGCCTGCTTGGCCCTCATGGCCGCCTGGGTGACGGTGGACAAGGACGAGCGGGATACACTGGCCGCCTCCATGATCTCAATGTCTTTGCAGGTCAGGCAAGCGACCAGCTTCTGACGGGAGGCGCTGGGTGTGAAAAGGAACTCGTGGGACACGCCGGCCAGCACCGACCCAAGAGCTGGACCAATCCAGTACACCTGGGAGGGGAGGGGGAGGAGAAAAGTGAAGCTCCTCCACCAATCCCTGCAAACTTCCTTAATTGTCTAGGATGAAAGAAGCAGGTCAGACAGAGAAAGGTGGTGAGATACTGAATTTCCAGAACCCACCCAGTGATGCTCCCAGAATCCTGTGATGATGGCGGGACCCAAAGACCTGGCTGGATTCATGCTACCTCCAGAAAAACGGCCCTGTGGAGACACAAGGAGTTTGTTCGGGAGAACTTTCAACAGATCACCTGAGTAAGTAGGTATAGAGAGCAGGAAAATCCATCATACTGTATATCTATGACTGTGCAGCACCTTTATGGTCTGAAAACGATGGCCTACTCTATGTCATACGTAAAATAATCAATGAACCCTTGGCCCCTGCCAGTTCTCACCGCAGTAAGGACACCGGCACTGAGGGAGAAGCCAATGGCCAGGTTCCCGGGCTCACTCCCCTCCCGTCTCCGCTGGTCCTCCACAGAGAAGATGGTGAAGACCAGCTGGAACGTGGCCAGGACTTCCATCCCCAGAGCCTGGCCTGCGTTTCCATCTGAAGATACCTGTATGTGGGAAGGAGCACGCTGGCGTGAAGGCGGGGAACCACACACAAACTGGGCAAAGATTACAAAGACAGACCCACACTATAGTCAGGATTTACTCCTGTTGTTATGGAAGACAAGTCATTTGTACATCACCACTGTATGGTCCAAAGCCAAACAGAGTAAGAAAACTGGAAAAAAGGTTTTTTTTTTTACCCAATATGTACTATTCTTATATAGAAGATTATTGGCCTTGATATTGGTTGAGTCAACAAACACATGGATATATTGCATGACTCCTGCAAATACTGGTATGTCTTTAGTAGATGTCTTGATATGGTTAAGCTCACACACTTTAGATAATATCGATGATAATAATAGTTTTACACCACCATGAAGATCATTTAAATATCATTTTCTTTGGCTGCTTAAGACTTTTGCATTTCAGTGCCATGCAGACTCACTGCCAGGGCTGACCTTGCTGGGGTAGCATTCCGCTGCAGACTCCAGGGGCAGAAGCACGTAGAGGATAGCAGCCCCTACCGTGGCGCCCAGGCACTGGCTGAGGATGTAGGCGACGGCCCTTAGCAGGTCCAGCCGACGTGTTGCCAAGAATGCCAGAGTGACAGCGGGATTCACCTGGGAAGCAGAGTTCAAAGATGGGATGCGGACTGGGACGGTGTTTCTCAACCCAGTCCTCAAGGATCCCAGACAGCCCATATTTTTGGTCCCTCCCAGTTCACAAGACCCCTGTTGTATGGTTTATGTGTGCTGGGAGTGGAGAGGGAGCAAAAATGTGGACTGTCTGGACAGTGGGGGAGGTATTTGTCTTATTACTGGGATGTGAATGATGTTCTAAGTATTTGGTTTGCTTTGGTTTTCATACAAATGGAGTGGAAATCTTCCCATGGATCTGAAATATCTTCAGGGTGGATATTAGCTGCTAACCTGTGCCCCGCTGATTTCTCCAAAACAGTGAGCAAGTCCAACAGCCACCATGCCTCCTGCCAGGGCAGGGTACAGTGGTCCTGGAGCAACATCGCCAGGCCCAGGCACAGAGGAACCCAGCACTGCCGACACAAAGACCAGGGAACCCAGAATCTCTGCCAGCAATGCCCGCCAGAACTGACGACTTCGTAGCTCCTGAGAAAGGCAAACAGAACAGGTCATATTAAAATATTAAAAGTACACCAGAAGATCTGCAGGCTCAGATGTGGAAGGCCTTATGCAGCACATTCAGAGAGCAGAATTCATGGCACTTTTTTGGTTATGGATCCACAGAGGCCTGTTCAATCTACCCCTCCAGTCACTAAGGAAATGACATCATAATGGTGCTGTGCCGATTCATGCAGGACTTTGTTCTGAGAGGAGCACATGGACTCTTCCATAACCCCAAAGCTCAAATGAATAGACAGCTAATTAAGTCGGCACTCTCACATTGACATGATTAACATGCAGTGATTCATAAGGACCCACTCAGGCAGTCTAAACAGGGCTACCCAGCATAGCAGCTATTAGCTTTCATCTTTACCATGGCGATTTGTAAAGGATATTTTTGTGGTATGGCAGCAAATATGAAATTATATTAAAAAGCATAATTAATGTAAAAAAAAAATATATGCTAATAGTAAAATTGCTGAAACCGCTCCCAGAACTGCATAAATAAATTAATTTATATATCATTTTTTTCATGATGATCTTTCCAGCATCGCCATAGTAACACTTGCAGAAACACAAACTGAGATATCTGGGGTTTCTTTGCATGTGTCAAAGTTTCGACATGTAACTGAACAGCAAGCAAATAAAAAGGCACTATGACAGCAACACAGGATTTTAAGTAAAAGTTTTGTTCCAAACACCCGCTGGGGATAGATTACCCGAGCGTGTTGAATGTCGGAAACATTACAGTGCCAGGCAGGTGGTCAGTTCTGTGAAAGAGTTTCCGCATTTTCTCTCGTTACATCCTAAGAAAGAAGAGTGATACAAACCCAAGCCTACCTCACGGAGGGTCATCCTGTGTCCCGTGTATTTGAGTGCGCTGCTGTCTGTGTGTCTCTCCTTGGCATGTGAGGCTGCAGGGTTGTGTTCCTCGGGGGTGAGGGCTCATTAATTCCATTAGAAGAAGCTTTTGTAGGTCCTATAAAATCCATTCGCCTCCGCCCCCTTCCTCACCACTCAAACCCCCCCCCCCCCCCAACTCCGATTATTTTGCCTCCACCATGATCAGTTGCCATCAGGTCATCTACCGTAGACATCCAGATTATTTCTTTGAAAAGTCACCAGACTGAACACCAAAATCTAGACCAAAACTGCACCTGAAACTTAAAGATTTGAAAATAAGATTTTAAATAGTCAGATTAATTAGATATTAAATTGACAGGAACCAAACACAGATAACAGAAATGTACCAATGAAATCTGTGAAACACAAAGATATTGGGATCCCTTGGGAAAAAAGCAGGCCAAATTTTATGTATAATCAACCTAAACCTGCAGTGAAAATGATATGACACAAAAACAGGAATAACTCTGAAACATGATTGAACATGCCACTGCATTTTCAGCTAGTTTACAGGTAAAAACAAATATTTAAAATGAAGCTCAACATCACATCCGCTTTCCTGCCAGTAAACCATTTCCACTTCTCCTCCCACTCTTTATAACCACTCTTGCCTCCTTTCATGATCCAACTTCTGTGGTACAGCACGTTGCCATGGTGACCGCCTCTTTCGTGTACTACGGTTGCCATGGCTGTTGCCTTTTTTTAGGCCACAATAAAAAATATATTTCTTAACCTCTCAACTCAAACACACATCACATTATGAACAAATTATGAAGAGTTATTAGGATACACTATTTCATGAGATGTACACTCACCCAATATTTTGTGAATAACTGATTATATGATAAAAGTGAATATATAAACATGTGAGAACCATTTTGCTGGGATATTGAGATGAAACCCTTATGAATACAGAAAAAACATGTTATTATTTAAACAGCTGAAAATTCGCTTTTAAAAATTAACTGCAAGCATATAGACAATGCACAAATGGTGTTTTCAAAAACTGCAAAGTAAACAGGGGCTTAAAATGGACAACTCTGTAAACAGTAAGATTTTGTTACAGCTTTTTGAAGTGGTCCTCCTAGTGGCGTGGAGGGGAATAGCAACAGAAGACACAGCAATAAAGTAACATAGCATTTAGTAAGTGTTAGTCTATCACTGAGGTTGTCCAGTCCAGAACAAACCAGTTAAAAGGGACTCGTGTGTAGCCTATTGTAGGATGGATTACCACCCTTCGCTGACTCCCAGAGCTCATAAGCCCCCCCCCCCCCTTGTGGTGGTAAACCCTGCGTAGAGTACTGTTAAAATTCGCTTGCGTGGGAGATTTTGCCTGAGCTCGTATTGCTGACACGGGCATAAGCCCGCCTCGTTGACAATGTGCTCCCAACGGCAAGCTGGGCTGCCCCCGCAAACTGCCAGCTCAGGGATACCATGGAGAGAGCCCCGAGCTCAGAATACCGCAGCTGGAGAAAAGCAACAGCGCAAACATGTAGGAGCAGCTGCAGATACATGAAGGCCTCGTGCGATTGGGTCCGCTGAGCCACACGTTCGGTCTCTGTGACGCACCGATAAAAAAAACATCTATGTCAGCCACGTGATAAAAATCTTGGGTCTGGGCTGCCTGATAGAAAAGGTTATTCTTAGAATCTACAAGTGCTATGAGTTTGCGGGGCCACCCATAGGGTACAGCCTCAGCTGGGAATGACAGGACAGGCTAACAAGTGCTGCAGACAGGGAGCCCCGGGAGGCTGACGGATGGATGAAAATGGACCGCACTGTGCTCTCCCTGGCAGTCCAACAAAGATTACCCTACTGGGCCTGTGCGCGGTGAATCGAGACCCTCAACTATAAAAACCAAGAATATACCCCTGCAACCAGACAATATTGCAGTTACTTAAGTCTACTTGTTTGCAGTATTAAAGTTGCAAAGATGCTATGAGGTAGCCAAGCTTGTTTTGTTGCAAGACATGTAAAGCACTTTGCAGATGATCACTGGAGCCTGAACGGCAGGGCTGCAGTGCTATCTGATGTTTGGTGGCCCTATCTGACAAGCTTCTGCAGACACGCATTAAAGAATGCATGGAATCCTTGAAAGTTTTCTGGAACTCTGGCAGTTGCAACATTCTATATAGCCGGCTTTAGAAACACAGAGGAATAAGCAGGATTTTCTCATGTGTCCTGTGAGACTTCATGGACAATGCAGACCAGCCTATCAACCCCCCCTCCCATAACATTCTGTTGGAAGTGATGCACTCAATTGGTGCACAAAACAAAATCTGATATTTACTCAACCCACCCAGAAAAAATGTCAACCGAAAGCAGGTAACAGGTGAATTTTGAGTACTGATCATAGCCACCTGAAGTACAGCAATTCATCTTTGTCCCCTGTAGAGGACATTATGTTCCTGCTTATCTCTCATACTGCACATGCCACTCTGTAAATTCCTGTTGTTTCTTAAAGAGGACAGTTATAGTTTTAAGATGACACATTTTCAGATGTGACCTTGCCAACCTCCTCTTCCTGTCAAATCAAACTTTTTAAATCAATATTTTTTTCTCCCCTGGATCTCAAGAGGAATGAAAGGCAGTGTGCGTGTGAAGACTTAAAGAGCCATGTCATTCTTTCTCTGAGACCAGTTGGGCAAGTCTTCAATGGTTTGACTAGTTCATTAGATCAGCGTTCCTCAAAGCGGTCTGCACGAATCTCCCAAACAGTCGGAGGCTCCCCAAGAAGCGTGTTGAGAAACACTGCATTAGGTGACTGGACACTTGTTTCACTTGTTTCTGTGAGGCCATGTAACAGCAAACAGCATCACCATGATTCTCCCCCCAGGCATAAAGAAAACAAAAATGCACCAACGGCATAAAACGCTCTTTCTACTAGATGTGGTTTATTCAACTCACAGTACATTCTACAGATGCACACGTGTTACATCACATCAGTACAACATATTCTTTAATGCCTCCTCTTAAAAATGATATTGGTCCTAAAAATATAGAAAGGAATAAATTTAAAGTCACAAAAACTGTACATTATTAAAAATTCACTTAACACCACATTTTGGTTTTTAGAAAAACTATGTCCCTTTTGTGTTACAAGGAACACTTCCTATTTTTTTCTGACCAGTTTGATTTCAGTGTAAGAAACTAACCTTAAATACCTTTAGAATCCCCCCCCCCCCATTCATTTCCCCCCCCCTCCATCTAGTAAACTCCTTGCTAATTCAGTGCCAGGTTTGTGTTCATTATAGAGGAAGGAAACAGAATTGAAGGCAGGGGGGCAGGGAGTGGGGGGGGGCTACACAAAAGACCAAATGCTGAAATACAGGAAGGCCACATCTGTCAAAAATCCACACATTAAAAATGGAGGAACTGCACTGCGCATGACGGCAAGCGGCAGTTTTCCTGCACCTGTGCAGCTAAGCTCCATCGCATGACCAAGCCAGCCTCCATACTCCCACTCACAGCTGCATTTCCAGCCCCAAAAAGGGCCGCTATTTATTTTGGGGAATGGAAAGACAAGCAGGTGAACCTTTAAAGAACAAGAAACTAGTGGGAATATCCATGACAAGGAGCTGCATCCAAATACGACCTGCAGGATGAGACTAAGGGTGCGTAAGCTTTTGGATCCAGGTTCAGGAATACTGCTAAGTTTTTGTTGTTTTTTTTTGTTTGTTTTTTTAAATTGGTAGCACTTGTCTAAGTTAGTGTTACAGGAATGATTGGGTGCCCAGCTGCTGAAATAATTTACACACAAGATAGCTACTGGGCCAATTGATTTTTTTCTTTAAATAAATGGAGTGAACAAATGCTAAAAAGCACTAACAGTTAACAAGTTTGGGATCACCAACTGCCTGCAAAAACACCACATGGTGTGAAGCCACTTAAAACCACTCTTTAAAATTGAGCTTTAAAGAAAATATGGAGATCCATTTCTCTTTGAACCAAGAAACTTAAAATCTAAAACTAAGACCATCCCGATTTCCCCCCTACACACCCCCCCCCCCCCCCAATAAAACACCGCTATAACCATTATTTTCTGTTACACTTTCGACAGCAGTTCTACTTTTACCATGGTAATGTACTGGTGATGAGAGGTCCGGCTACCATTTAGCAAAAACTGAGCAGGTATACAAGTGTCATGGAGGAAAGCGAAAGCTGCAAGTGTTAGCCAAGAGTTGCGAAGACATCCCAGAAAGAGCGGGGGGGGGGGGGGGGATTTAATTTGAATACACTACTTCCTCCACTGTGAGAATTTGATTTCACAGAAGTAAATCTGTCCGACTTGTCAGACAACTGGAGAAAAAAAAAAAAACTTTCCTTTCTGCTTTACTGGCCACTTATCTAGACAGCACTACTATGTGGTCTGTGCACATCCACTATAACCTATTGCTATTAAATAATTCCAGCTATTTTTTTAGTCTTTATATATGTATATATAGAATATATAATAAAAATAGAGAAAATTGCTTCTAGTCATGAGACCACTATATAATATTTTAGTGAAGGAAATCTAACATTGTCTTGAGAGTTTTGGAATGAGTCTGGTGAGGATCACTTTAGGGTGAAATCAGACAGACAGATGAATCCCTGTCAATGGGGTTTGGGTGGCTTTGAAAAATGACTGGGGGGGTGGAGGTGGATCCCTTAACCTTAACACTAAGGAAGAGGGAGAGTGCTATTCATGGACCTCTGTTTGACAGACGGGTGTGTAATACACAAAACGGAGATGGTTAGATGGAAAATCGAGAGCAGTGGAATTGGACCGAGGCAGGGACTGAGCGGAACACCTTAATCCCTGTCTGGCCTGACAGGTGAGTAAATCCAGACATCCTGGGCTGGAGTTTATGACGACGGAGAATAAGAGACAGTCTATACATATATTAACACACATACGTTTACAGTGAGCCACGAGAGGCTTCAGTAGCAGTTTTAGTAGTATTTGGGGACTCCCACAGGAGGGATCTCTTGAGGGTTGAGGGGTTGGGGGCCCCTGCTCCTCAGAGCTTGGTGCAGCCATGTCCAGCATTTGCCCCGAAGCGCCTATTTGTCTTTGTTCTGGTAGAACTCCGCC